AACAACAACAACCCAGGGAACCCAGGTTTGAAACCTGGGTTTAACCTGGGTTTGAACCTGGGTTTGAACCTGGGTTAAACCTGGGTTCGAACCTGGGTTCAACCCCGGGTTAAACCCAGGTTTAAACCCAGGTTATAACCCAGGTTTGAACCCAGGTTTGAAACCCAGGTTCTAACCCAGGTTTGGAACCCGGGTTCAATGAACCCAGGTTTAACCCAGGTTAAAACCCAGGTTTGAACCCAGGTTAAACCCAGGTTCCAAACCCAGGCTTGAAACCCAGGTTCTAACCCAGATTTGGAACCCGGGTTTGAAAACCCAGGTTTAAACCCAGGTTAAAAACCCAGGTTTGAACCCAGGTTAAACCCAGGTTCCAAACCCAGGCTTGAAACCCAGGTTCTAACCCAGATTTGGAACCCGGGTTTGAAAACCCAGGTTTGAACCCAGGTTTGAAACCCAGGTTCTAACCCAGGTTTGGAACCCAAGTTTAACGCACCCAGGTTTGACCCAGGTTAAAACCCAGGTTAAACCCAGGAGGGCTTCAAGGTAGGCCTAGGATTGGTTTGAAGAAAGGCTTAAAAGAGGCCTGAGGAAGAGACCTGAAGGAGGACCTTCTTCGACACGAAAGGAGACGCCCACACGAAATCGCTTAAGGGGGTTTAAAAAAAACGAATAAAAAGAAGCAGAAACATTAAAATTCACACAGAGGCCGCATAAAATCGTTCAGCGGGACCCGCTCTTTAAAAGCTCAATGGCACCAACCCCACCGCTTTTTGTAAATTGCAAACTCCCGCCTTTGAAGCCGCCTAAACAGTAAAACCTTCAACTCCAAACAAGCCAAAAATTAACAAAAAGAACAGGGTTCAAAAGCAAAGGTTACTGCGTTTGAAGGTTTTCAAATCCTACGGAGAGTGCAATTTAAACGAGCAGGCAGGTTATTATTGCGTTCAAGCTTTTCAAAGCAATTTTGAGAACAGTTTCGTGAACATTGAATTTTTCTTCGCTTTTAAGCCTTTCAGGCAATTTTGTGTGGAATGTTCTCAGCCTTCATTGAACTTTTAAGCCAGCTCCAAACAATTTCCAGCAGTCTTTGTCTCTAAATTTCCATGTTTCTATTTTATTTTAAAACCCTTAAACGATTTCGTGTGGCCTCTACTATTGTCGTTCTTTTCTGTTTTTCGCTTTGTTTGGGTTTGGAGTTGAAGGAAAACGGTTTAGGCGTCAAAGATGCATGAAGTTTTTTTGCAAAAGGCGGAAGGGTGGAGAGGCGCAGTCCCTTCCATTTTTATGTCTTCGATTTTGTTTTATTTGCGGTTAAGCCCCAAAGCGATTTGGTAGGCAGGGAAAACCCAGGTTTCAACCCAGATTCCACCTAAGTTCTAACTTCGAACCCAGTTCCAGCTTAACCCAGGTTTAAACCTGGATTCGAACTTGGGTTCTGAAACCAGTTCAAACCGAAAAAATAGATATTCAAAATAGAGTTTCGAATCCAGCTTCCGGAACCCGAGTTCAACCAAAACCTGCTCCAAGAACAAATAGTTTGGAATCCGGAAGGAAGGACGCTTTGTCAGCCAAATTGGACGAGCATCCGCATGACAGACATCTGAGCAGCGGTTTTGTTGAGAAAACGCGTTGGAGCGGACCAGAAACTTGATCACAAAGACGAAGCGAAGGTAAGCAGCTCTTGAACCAAAAAAAGGTAGTTTGGTGCAGAATCTTATCTTGAGCAGACGTGGTTTTCAGAGCGCTGCTCTTGGTGAGAAGCAGGCATCATGGACTTTGAAGTTTGGCTGGGTTTCAAACCAAGGGCTCTGCCATCTAAGAGGTTTGTCTAAAGTTGAAAAAAGAACGCTTTTGGAAAAGTTTGAGCCTACTGCTCTTCCAACTTTCCAACCTTTCTACTTCTTACCTTTCTAGCCTTCCAACTTACAGACTGACATTGATTCATTTTCTGCTTTAAAGCGACTGATATCTTGAACCGTATACTTACAACTAAACCCAAAACCTCAACTCTCAAAATAGAAGAGTGATCCGCAGTGAGAGCAGCAGACATGTTGGAGTTATGTCCAGCTTGCTTGCCGCTTCATTTTTTGCAGCTCATGTTAAACATTCCGAAAAACTCGTGGAAAAATCTCATCCACACAGCAATTCTGCAGTGCGTGCAGGTGCCCAACGATGTTCAAGCGGGCTTGAAGACAATACTGAGCTGTGTGTCACAAGTGAAACAAATTTGTGGCGGCCAGTTAAAATCTTAAGAGCGCTTGCTTCTTTGAAAGGGCAGCTTTACTTTTGGTTCGTGCGCACAATTGTTTTGGTGGTTGGAGCATGTGTTGAAACCATTTCACATGTTGTCGAAACTTTTCCGCAAGCTACAGTCCACTGGGAGCGAGTTCGAATGTTTAAAAAGCTGAGATTCCATAGCTCAACGGCTGCCGAAGCGTAAGCGCAGCAACCGACAGACAGACAACTTTTTTCGATTCCTACCATTCACAGTTACACCTAATATTTCTAAAACTGACAAAGAAGAGAATAGAAAGTGTTCCTGATCTTGGCAAGACACAACCGAAGCAGCCAGGAAAAATTGCGGTGGGTTTTGTCTGTGGTCGTTGTGTTTCTTCGCTTTTCCTGATGTGAAACAGACGAACAATTACTCAGTCTCTGCAAGGCTGTTGTGTGTTGATCGCAACGTTTCTGCGACAGACCATTTCCTGTCAGAGGTTCTGTGCAATGGCTGTTTCCGGCATTGGCTTGTTCCTAACCAGACGTCACCAACGCAAAACTGGGGAATCTTATCCTTCTGCAAGAGTTTTCTGGTCAGAGGCAGTTTCCTACCAGAGGCTGTATCTCTCAAGAGGGCTTTCCTACAAGAGGCTGTTCACCCGTTCAACCTCAGCTACAGTCAGATGTATGTGCTGACAATCTCAACTTTGAATGCGGATATCGAGACTGGTTGACTTCCAGAAAGTCTTGCAAGCCAAATCTTTTCGAAATAACCCTCTACTAAGCTCTATCTTAACTAGACAAAGCATGGCTCGAAAAAGAGACATCAGTTGAATGACTCCACTGGCGTCTTCCCGCATTTTTTTGCTGAGTATCGGTGCGTTGATTCGTTGCTTTTGCTGAGTGGGACGTTTTTTTCTTTTGTAGTTTTTTTTTGTTCATAATCATTTTGCTATTTGTAGGGACCGAGCGCAGAAGCCGCTGTCCTTTTTCGCACGGCATGGTCTTCATGGCCTTTTTTGGAGTGCTTGGGCCAAGCCAGACAGGGTTCAGAGTGGACTTGGGCCATTCACACTGACAGCGCCAAATGAACAGTTTTACACATGAGCTGGCATCCGGTTGTGAGGATCCGGCAGGACAGCCAATTTCGATGATTCGACAAGTGCTCTTCATGTTTGCTGAAACATTGTGTGCTGCTGCATGGCAAACAAGCTCGTCTGACGGGTGAGGCTGGGTTTCGACATCGTTTTCCATTTTAGCTTCGGCTGTCATCCTGGTTGCCTCACGTTACCATTGAGGTACGATGGTAATTTGGAACCTGCATGAACGAATCCAACCTTCAGTTATGTTGCATTGACAAGTGTGTGTGTGTGTGTGTTCAAGGAGAGTCATTGAAACAAAATTTACAGAGACATCGTTGTGGCTGATACACAACGCGTGTCATTGTTTTCGCTCATTGATGTTTCGCATAAAGTGCACATTTACAGCTGGATCGCACAGTCCAGTGAACATGCTTTGCCTGGTTTGGTGGATGCACTGCAATGTCGGTTGTGTTTTGAGGCTGGCTCAGACCAATGTGGGTAATTTTGTTTCCGAGCAACGAGCCGGCGTCCTCGTCCTCGGGGCATACAGGTTTCACAGTACTCCAGCAACAGGCGCGCAATTCATGATCTGTTCTTGTTCACAGCTTCTGTTCTTCAGTTCAGCCTGTGTGACAGTCAGGTCTGAATATGCTGTTCTTCTCCTTCTTCAGAACGTTGGTTGACAGGAATGTGCAGGCCGCCACGACAGGATGAAGGATTCACTCATCAATCTCTTGCCCTGAAAGGTGACGGTGGAGTTGAAGAACGACCTATGCATAACAGGTTTGCATTGTTTATTTGGAGTAGGAGTTCAATGGATGGGAATGATGCGTGGAGCAGGAACACTGCAGTCTGCCGACCAGTTCTTGAACCTGAAACTTGCCAACGCACGGAGCTAGAGCTTGCAAAGCGAGCGGGGCATCACCTGAAGAACTTCAATTTGCAAGCTTAGATCTTTCCATGGTCAGTGTTCAGGTCAGCGTGAATGATCCGGATCGGTTTCCGCATCTCTTGTCCGTCAAAAACTGCTTTATTCGAGGACCCCGCTGTGCAGCCAGAGTGTTGCGGGGGGTGTTCGTCGCATGCGTCAGGGCACATCTGCTTCACGCTTGCTGTCGCTGCCAGGATCCGTAGTGCGATACGTGCACCTCCCCGGACACGAGGCTGCTGCGTTTCCCGACATGTGTTTGGCACCACTGGGTTTGCGAAGGTGGACACGGAGTCGCTGCAAGATAGTTGTCGCCGAGAAGCAAAGCAGGTCCGCTGGAAATTCATTGGACCTGTTTGTCTGCTGCCGTTGCAAGCAAAAGTTGCGAGGTCAAATGAGATGTCCTGCTTGGACAACCTTGTGAGCGAAGGGTCGCTGGGTAGTAAGCATGGGACGGGCGCACCGCTATGTTTCATGTCAGACAAATCTGAGCGTGTGACCTGCTCGGAACTTCATCTGGTCAGAAGCTTTCAAGACATTCCTGAACGCTTTACAGACGGACTGCTGACTGATGCTTTTTGCTGCATGTGTCCCAGCTCCTCGATGTCATGCACAAGAGCACACCCGCAAGCTTCAGAACATGTGTGGATGGGGTGAAGCTGTCTGTGAGTATCATTTCTGAAGGCGGCTCCGAGCCATCTGGTCAGCGTAGCTTTGGTTGCTCCACCTGCCCGCACGGTTGGGTGCGGCCTCAGCATTTTCATGCCGCAGCTATGGATGGAAGTATCCCAAACTGGGTCCAGGCAAGAATGTATTGGCCTCTGGAATCAATAGGGGTCATTGGCACCGCACAGGTCGGATCCAAGTGCCGTTGGTGGTCCGAGTCACAACAGACGCATCTTGGTTCAACCCGGCAGTTTTCATTTCTAGTGCATGCAACGCCAAAGAAACTGAGGCATCATGAGGTCGTGATCACATCGGTTGATGTGGTGAGAAGGCCACCCTCGGTACTTTGTTATCCTTTTCTTGCTGAAGCATCTGTGGAGTCGCGGCTCAGCCATTGCTTGACCCTTGCTCATACCATGGCTTCTCTCGTAAGGCGAGTTGTTGCGCATTTCTCAGCCGATCATTCCGAAACTTGATTGCAGTCAGTCTGCTACCTCTGGTACTTTTTTGATCAGCAGCCGCATCGCAAAGGTGTGGAAAAACGTTCCCTTTTCTCTCATTCACGCCAATGGCCCGCTGTTGCCGAACGACCCAGATGAATCGTTCGGAGAGCCGAAGCGGAAGAGTCAGTCAGCTCAAATGAGCCAGGCGCAAAGTGACTCGCAAAGAGCAGCTTGCGATGCTCTGATGAAAGCTACTTCGACATGTTGGTGCAGGAAAGAGCCGAAGGCACGGCTACGCCGCCGTGGTACGAGAAGCTGAATGATGCCGAAAACCGTCAGGAGGTCGGAAACTGTTTTCAGTTTTGGGGTGATCCAGTCCCCGCCTGGCAGGTCAAGCAAGAAATCCGGCGCAAAGAAGAAAGCCACGGCGCCATTCAGGCATTCTGAGATGGAGAGTTATACCTCCGGTTGCCCTGCCGCTGGCTCAGGAAAGACGAAGGTATCTCTGGCAGCAAGAGAAACAGCGAAAAGTCGAAGAGGTCCGATATAGGATTGGGATGAACCGGGGGAGCAGCTTCCGTCTGCTGCGCCCGTCCGCCAGGAAAGGAGGCAACGAGAGGAGGGACGCCAGGCCCGTGAAGCCGATGCGGAGCGTGCCAGGCCGGCTCGACCTGTCGCGTTCGCGTTCAAACTTCGTTTCAAGAGAAATGCTCAGCTCTACGCCTCTTCCACTGCTGCAGGCTTCGTATTGTGCAGAAGCTTCAGAGGGAAAGAGAGGACCCATCAGATGTGGCAGCTCATTTCATATCGACGATTTCATATCGACGGCCGCATTACACTTAGAAGCCATACTCCCGAATTCAAGGTGAATACGTAGTCTGCAGGAAGAGAATCTGCGAAAGTTTGAAGTGCTCCTTATGGGAAAGGAAGACGAGGCTGGGACGATGAAAGTTGATCCTCGGTCCTCGATGCTGCTCTGCTGCTCAGATATATGATTTTGTTACTTGTTTACTTTTTGCTTTCGTGTCAGATCTCAAAAAGAGCGAATTCAATGTGGCGTCAACGCGAAGAAGTTGCCAGGAGGTGCAGCAAATGCCAAACTTATGTTCTTGTAGGCGCTGCATTGCGGACAGATAAAAGCGTCGCGGACAGTTTCGAGGAAACAAACCTTGGTCACGCTTGTGCAGGCAGAAGGAGGAGGAAGAGCGGGAGCGTTTCGAGGAGGCTCGAGCAAGTGACCAGACATGGAAGGCTTTCGTGAGCTCTGCAGTGGTTGAGGAGCAAAGGCGCGCGGATCAGAAGTTGCAGGAGGATCCGTTTTGGTGCTTGCATTTCGCTGAGTAGGCAGTGTACCTGTCTGGTGAGGAGCGTGCGGCCAGGCCTCGTATCGCTTTTGGCGTTGCCAGACACGAGCCCAAGGCAAGGATGACTGACTCCATGGACCTTGTCACGTCGTTCGTGCGGTTGTTGCGCTTGGTTGCGCTTTGTCGAGGCTTGGACAGCCCCACCACCATCCAAGGTGCTCTTGATTGAACAAGTCAACCGTTCTGTGCCAAAGTATCCCATGCCCATTCTCAGCAATGACTCAAATACTCAGCAAGCCTTGGCTCGGAGGCAAGCGCTGCCCCTCCAATCGTCAAGCTCGAGAGGCCGCTGCCGCTACTGCTTGACTAGTATTCCTTTGATCCCCAAAAAGCCAGGAAAAGGCATTCCTGGGACTCCTGGGAAGATTCAAGCCTTCCGGCCGAACCGGCTGCACACGTTGCGCGAGAGAGTGCCAATGCGCCATCCTCCCACTTGGCACAGCGCGTGCCGGGCTCTCGGGCATCCCACGGGCCGTCCTTGTTCCTGTGTCCGTTCCGTTGCAGGCCTACCCCTACAACGAAACAGACTGCAAAGTTGCACTTGGCTCCCACTCTGCCGGCCAACTTGCACCCCAACTTGTCTGCAGGAACCTTGTCTGCACTGGGGCCACAGCCTGGGGATTTTTCTATCGTACGCACACACGCACAGACGCACACGACAGCCAAGAACAGTGGTACGGGCTGCAGATTCGGGCCGCCTTTGGCTCAGCCGCCCCCGAGAGAGCAGTTGATAAACGCGGGGGATTCTGTCGGCATTGCTTGCAGGTATACCAGCAGCACAACCCTGAAAAACTGGCAGATGTCAGAATCTCAACTGCTTGTGTTCGTTTCAATGTGCGATAGCTCGATAATCGAATAAGCCCAAGGTTCCGCACCTAATGGAAAAGTACTCTGGCAGTGAAGAGGAGATGTATGCCAAGATTTGTGAGAAGCTGCTTGGCCAGCTTGAGTGTGTCTTCTGTATGAGCAGCAAAGCCGGCAATCCCAGCCGCCTAGCCAAGGTACGGGGTCACCCCGTTGGCTCGGCCATCGGGGCTCAAGTCAGAAAGCACGCCTACGACGCCTGCGACTAGCCAACCCAAGGCAATCCTTAAATCGTGTCTTTCCAAGCATTTGAATCTAATCTCTCTTGTAGTAGGTGGTTGGCTACGCAAAGAAAGCAAGTGCTCCACCTCCGCCGGAGACAGAGCAGGCCAGTCTTGCCGTTGTGTCTTGTTCGCGGTGCTGCTCAGATGTCAGGACCCTCACAGCATGCTGGACAACGCCCCTTCGGCCTCCTCGCTTTTGGCCAGGCAGCAAGCACGGCCTCGCAATTTTTTGTTTGATGCCGGAGCAGACTTTCGACGAACATCGGCAAGCTTGCCTGACAAGGTTTCAGAGTCTGGTGGGTGATGCGACGGACCCGGCAGACGAGGAGGAGCGATAATGCTGAAAGCAGCTCTTGACACAGCAACGCCTTCCGGTGTTGCCGGGCAACACGAAGGAATTTGAAGACAGAAGCAAGCGAAGGAACGGTCACGACTGTGGGGTCTTGCTTGTTTCAGCGGGCATCTGATGTGGTTTGCTGTGACCCTTCGGCTGCCTTCAGGCGGTCACCGTCTGCAGAGTCTTCTGGAGGCTCGCACAAGTCGAACTCTCGAACCAACTGAGGTGCTCTGAGACCTTTGTAATTGTTACTGAGTTTTAAATGCATGTTACTGCGTCACTTCATACTAGGTTCACTCCACACTTGTGCCCACGAAACGGGCCAAGCTTGCGCTTGCCTACTTGTTCTGTCGACCTCCTGAAGGCTCTTACCTATTCGCAGCGGTCAACTCCAACCCGGGTTCTTATGGCTTAAGCAAAGCGGTCTCCATGTTTATACCTGAAATCCCGAAGGCCATAAATCCTAAACCTCAACCTGAAGCTGAATTTAAACCCTTCGCCCTAGCTAGCTACCAAGACAAACACCAAACCTACAGCCCTCGAAACGAAGCCCTAGGTGTAGTGCCGCGGACCTAAGTCATGTTTCCTGATTCCCTGAAACTAACCCTCTCGCGGGAAGACGCGTCCGATTTCCCACACCGCAAACCCTCAGCCAGTCAGAACAGAATGCTTGTTAAGAGGCCCTTAAACCCGCAGCCCTGGAAAGCTGTAAGGCCTTAACCTTAGCCTTAAGTTAAACCCAAAGCCGTCAACTTTGAAGTATGTACGAGTTGAACCCGAGGCCGCAAACCCTCAACTTCAGACCCTTACACTTCCAATCTTTAAGGCTTAGGGACATCCTGGCAAACCCTAAACCGTGAAGCTATGGGCTTCAACCGCAGGCTCAAAGTTTTTTTAAAACCTACATCTTTGAATCGCAAGGACTCAAGGACAAGACCCTGGCTTCCAGGCCCTCAATCTGGAACCCGAAAGCCATGAGCCCTGGAAAGTCTATAGCCATATAGCCCTGAATTCTTCTTGAATGCAAACCGTAAACTCAAGTCTTGTGGCCCCAAGTCGTTAAACCAAGACCCTTAACTCCTAAGCGCCGAGCCATAGAGAGTAAAACCCGCGATCCTGTGCTTCCGGCTTCCCGCAACCTCAAGTTGAAAATCCCCCCCCTAAAGAGTTAGGTTTGGGCTTGCCCCATGTTTATCTCCGTCCCGCCAACGCCTGATGCATTATTTCCCTAGGGGGGGATACACGTTTTCAACATTTCTATAAATTTTTGCCCATTTTTGACATCATACCCTCGCACATTTCACCATTAAAATTTCAGAAATTTATGATAAAAAATTCATAAAATTTTATCATAAATTTTATTACAAAAATTCAGAAATTTTGTAATATTTTTTGTGATAATTCTTTATATCGCAGTTTTTGCTTTTAAATAACCTTCTAGTTCATCTAGTGAACCTCGTATAGTTTTAATATATTCATCATCTATAAATGTTGTGTTAGAATTCTTTTTCATTGATACCAGTATATCTTCTTGTCTTTTTAATATCACATATTTTTTCATTCCATATTCAATACATAAATTATCTAGCTCTTTTTTAAATACCTCTTTATATTTGTCTTTATCCATCGTATATATAATACTATATATTTTTCTTTTTAAAACTTTTAAAACTTTTAAACATATTTGTCGCCTTCCTTTACAACCTTATAATATTCCATGGTTTCCGGTTTAGGTTGTAAAATTGCTCCTTCATTTAATTTCTTAATATAAGCGTTTCTTTTGTTCGTGTATGATGCTTCATGATTTGTATTTAATCTGGGTTTAGGCTTTTCAGTTAGTATTTCAAGTTTTTCTAAAACTGTATCCATGTTGCGGGTTAGTTCTAAAACCATACTGTAAATCTTTTCACTGAATTCTTCAAATTGTTCATTCTCTGGCACTTCTACTTTTTCTTCAACCTTACTTTTATCGACTGGCATATATACAATATTATATAAAAGTTTTTTTAAAACTATATATTTTTTAAAACTTTTTAAAACTTTTCTTTATCGCTGGCGTTGCAGTTGCACTTTTTACAATATGCTATGCAATTGCTTATTGTATGTGTTTGATCGTTAAATTTCCGCTGTGCGGTTAAATTCGTCCTTATATTTCCACCTATTGATTTAACATAAAAATCTACACTACATTTTTCACAACACCCATTCAATCTATTTAATAACCATTCTGGGGTAATATAATTCTTATGATCTATTTTTCTTTTTGCTTTTCTGTCTTGTTCTTTATATCCCTCTACCTTTCTCTTCAAATAATTGTAAATACTGTTTTTATTAAAATCAGTATTGTCATCGTCGTCATACTTGTAGAAACTTACATTATTTAAATCAGTAGACCTCGTTATTGCACTGTATAGCCAGTTTTTATCCACCAGACAATGATTATAATCAAATATTGTTATACCTCCTTCGATGCTTGAACCTTGGACGCTATGGCAGGTAAAACAATAATTGAATATAAAATGCTTCCTCAACATATCTAGCGGTAATTGTTGAATTATTTTAGTGTGCTCATCTTCTAAAACCACCACATTTTCAATTATGTTTAAAATCTTGTATTTAAAATTAACTTGAAATTTATAAGTTTTTGATTTTAAATACTCTCTACATATCATTATTTCTCCTACTTCATATTCACCTTTTCTATTTTGCATTTTTCTAATTTCATTTGCAACTTCCCTACATGTATCATTTAAATATGCTACATTATTACTGTTTAAGTTTATGTCAGATGTGTATTTAAAATATTTTTTTACTAAATCCCTCGCTTTAATATTATTTTCAAAAATGTCAATATAAATATTTTCTAGTTTTTTCCTGTCTTCCTCTTTCCTTAATCGTTTACAAATTTTCAGATAAATATTATATTTAAATATCTTATCCACGCAATTATCGGCGTATTCTTCGTGCTCCTGTAAATTAGTTAATTCCGATACTGGTTTTAATTGTTTACCGTCTCCGGTAGCTACTATTATTTTATCTTGGTTAGTTTCTACAAATTCTCTAATTCTGTTTAATACCCTTAAACCATTAAAATAAATCTCGTCGAACACTATGACATCATAACCCGAATAATCAAACTTTTCTAATTTCTCGTCGCCCACAGCTATAGAAAAGAATTTATTTACTGTGATTGCTTCCTTGCCGTATTTTTGAACAAGTTTATTAGTAGGACATACAAATAAAACACTCATACCCATATCAGCCATTTTTTCACATATATAACTCTTTCCTGAACCTGCATATTTTGCTCTGATCATAACATGTTTGGCACTTATAACATTCGCTATTATATTTTTGGTGTCATACTCGTCTTTAATTTCTATTGCTACATTTTTGTAGATAGGTATTTTATTTAATTCATTTTCTTTTTTCTTGTATTCCTCGGGTGGTAAAATTATATCTTCTCCTTCTTTGTTTGCCCTCCATTCTCCTATGCCGGTTTTCATTTCTAAAATCTCTCGTGCTTTATCAACATCCCGCGATCTTATTACAAATGCATCAGTTTTAACACTCATAACTGATACAAAATTTTTCACTAGTTTATTATAATCTTGAAGCATTTTAAAATTATGATCTTGAAGCAACAGCTCTTTTATATAAATAAAGCCATTGTGTAATGTTGCACTATCTGATAAATTCACTAGATAATAATCCATTCCGCTGGGTTCATCATACATACATGAATAAATATTTTCATCTTCTCTTTCTCCCCTATATAATGTATCATAATAACATTTCACCTCCTCTATCTTATGTATTTTACCTCCGTGTTTTAATTGAAAATTCGATGCCTCCTTTAAGTTTTTAAAAACTGTGCTTCTCTGCGAGGTGTTCTCGGTTTTTTCTAAAAGCCCGATATTAACATTTACAATAAGTTTTTTAATGAGTTTGTCCATTTCCTCCTCGTCGCTAATGGATTTTCCCCATAATTCCTGAACTAATTCGTTATAGTTAACATCGTGTATGAATGAAGGCGTTTTATAATACAATATTTTTAGATCGTTTGCTTCAATCTGTTTTAAATATTTTCCATAAATTAAGTTGTATTTTTTATTAAACAAGTTGAGAAACACTGTAAAATTAGGCCTAGTTCTTTTACAATCTTCAACTAAATATAATGTATAATCTGATAATATGGTATAATCCATGTCATTAGTGTAAGGTCTCCAGACGTCATATTGATTAAATACCGGTATTTTATCAATGTTAATTAATCTACGTGTGTATGCTTTCGTGATATCGATTTCTGTAATATCTTTCTCTATGTATTGCCTATGTTTGAAAAGTCCTGTTGGTGGTATGGTTTTTGCTTCTTTGTAAATCTTCAGGTCAACTTGATTATAAAATGACTTGTGTAATGGATTAAATAAAGCTTTATTGAAATTAAACATGGCCTCGTTCATATTATTATATGTTTTTTCGTCATCTACTGCTATGCATCCATCTGACGACCCCTTAATTAAATTTTGAGTTTTAATTATAAATGTGGTTTTCTTAAGTTTAAGCTTCACTTCTGTAATAATCCCCGCTTGAAATTTGATTTGCGGTTCATATCTTGAGTTCAGGAGTTCAAAAAATATTCTGGTCAGGTTGTTATGTTCAGGAACTAAATAATATGTTATTGGCTCTTTTTCTTTACTGACCATTTTTAAGAGTTCATAAGTATCTTTGAACATTTTGTATTTCGGGGGTTCTTCCTTTTCGTTCAAATGGTATTCGGTAGATGCTTTAACTATGTATTTTTGTTCTTCTGAATTTTGCTTCTGTTCAATGCTTTTTAAGTCGTTATTCATTGTGTAAATGTGGCTGTTTTTGACAATGGCATAAAAGGGCTTAATTCTTCTTTTGTTATGTTCCGGTTCGTGTTTGTAGATAAGGTTGTTAAAGCTATCAAAAATTCTAGCTGGTATTTTAAACTCCTTGAATACCTTATCCATGTCTTCAATGCTAGCACCTTTGCTATAAAAATCCTCCTTCCCTGTGATCTCTATAATTTTTTCTCGTGTTAATTGTTTTCTCTTGTTGCCGTCCATTAGGGTATCTTGATAAAAGTCTATCAGTGCATTAAACCAACACTGATTATCTACATGTGTGTTATTTTCTATTGCATGTTTTAGGTTTGTTAAATTGCTGTTAATATGTGTATATATGTAGCGATGAAACA